CTCCTGAGTAGCTGGGATTACAGGCATGCACCACCATGCCCAGCTAATTTTTTGTATTTTTAGTAGAGACGGGGTTTCACCATGTTGACCAGGATGGTCTCGATCTCTTGACTTCATGATCCACCCGCCTCGGCCTCCCAAAGTGCTGGGATTACAGGTGTGAGCCACCGCGCCCGGCCATAAATATGCTCTCTAAGAAAAGCTCCAGGGTAAGTCTCAGGGAAGGCATCTTACTCAGTGTGTTCATAAAAACAATGGTTAGAAATTTCCATGGGACATGGGTCAACTGTACACACCTAAAACCAATCATGTCAAAGGAACCTAAGAAAGTCAGAATTGGATAAGCAGCAAACAGCAGGCTAAAAAAACTGTTCTGCAATATACAGTCAGCCTTCCTATTATGTTATACAGCAAGGGGGGTTAAAACGGCAGATGCCATTAAGGTCACTAGTCACCTAAGCAAAAGGTAGGAAGATCTTCCTGGATTATGCGGGAGTGACCAATACAATCACAAGGGACCCGAAAGGTAGAAGACAAAGGCTTAAGAAGAGTGGCAGAGGGAATGATATTATGGAAGAATAGTCAGAGATACAAAGTAGCTGCCTTTGAAGATGAAGAAGTGAAACAAGGGCCAGGGAGTGTGGGCAGTGCCTAGACACTGGTAAACCAAAGTGAAGCTTTCCCTCCAAGAAGGTCTAGACAGGAACGAAGCTTTAGGGCCACTTTGCTTTTTGCCCAATGAGATGTATCAGACTTCAGGCCTAAAGAACAGAGAGTTAATAAATATTTTTGTTTAGTCCACTAAGTTTGTGGACATTGGTTACCACAACAGGCAATACAGTGCCCTTGGCAGAACAGAGAAACAGCAAGGAAGAAATGTCACTGGAAATGATGGAGAAAGAGGGAAAGGACATATGTAGTCAGAGAGGCAGAACAGGATGAAGAGCAGACCACATAGGTCTCTAAGATGCACTTAAAGAGGTTGTAACAATAATAAAAATAAGAAGCCATAAAAGCTTTTGAGGAGAGGAATGATGATCTGACTTCCATTTCCTAATGGAAGCTTTGGCTGCTATATGAACAGATATTAGGGTGGGAAGGGTGGGAACAGGCAGTTGTAATAATCCGGAAAAGAGATGTGGTCATTTACATCAGAGCAATGCAAATGGGCACGGACAGAAGCACAACAGGTGGGAGAGTCATGTAGAAGGATGCACAGAGGCTTAGTTCTCACCTGAATTTCCTTCTCTTTGGGTTGCTGTCTCCATCATCCAAAACTTTTCTCCCCTTAGGAAGTGGAAAACATCTTGGAATGGTTGATGCCCTGTGAATAGGTAAAGTCATGTGTTGACTCCCAACACATTCTGGGTAATATTTAGGCAAAATTTACTGGAAATGTAGGTCCCCAATGCACACTCAAACTTGAGCACTCTAAGGTACAAAGCCACTCCTGGGGCCTGTCATTCTGTGCTCACCCACTGACAGCAGGTTCCTGAAGTTCTCCAGCATCACATCTCGGTACAGCTTCCTCTGGGCAAGGTCCAGCAGCCCCAGCTCCTCCTCAGTGAAGAACACAGCTACGTCCTTGAAGGTCACTGCCTCCTACAATATCAAGAAGACATAACCTCAATCTTATGACCAAAGACTACGGGGAAGGAGCGGCATTGAGCCGGTGAAGGAGATAAGTGGAAAGTTGTTCTCCATATTGAGAGATGTAGGTCAGCTTATAGAATTCCCACTCATTCTGCCTATATCCTGACAATGGCACACACTGATTTTCCTGAACTCCACCAGAAGTGCAGTAATGAAGTCCCATACATTTACTTTGTGCTCTCACTGAGTCTACTTGTGTATGTAACCCTCTAGGACTCCACAAGCTGCATCCTGGGCTACCTATACATAGGTTCAACAAATTTTGCCAACTTCCCCAGAAACATTAAACAATTCAGTCCCAACCTTGTTGAGTAAGGCGCATTGTCCTCCTCTCTCATGTTCAAACCCTGGATGCTATCAATTTTCTTTAGTATTTGCTAAACTAACGAGTTTTAGGTAATTGTGGGATAATTTTCAGGGTGGCCTTGAATCATTCTTTCTTGCTTATAGTTCTGAAGAATAAACACAGAACCTGCTAGCAATGCAATGTTCCTGTCCTTCCTAAGGAAGGTAAAGTCTTGAGTTAGGGAGGAAGTGCCCAGTAAGTCATGTTGCCCCTAAGGTATATAAGGGGAAGGCTGCCTTCTGGGGTACCTCTGCTCTGGCGGAAGTGGGGTCTAGATTTTGTCCATCCCAGGAAGTTTTCCTCAGCCTTGGTGGCCACCTCACAGTGTATCCTACACTTCTGTGTTCCCTTGCTGCCGATCTGTAGATAACAAATCTGCTTCATATAATTAGTTGAGTGAGATCGTGTTCTGTCTCACAGGACTCACCCAAGTTGGTAATCAGTGCAGAGTGAACCTACTCCACAGTACCTGCATGGACAGCTGTGTGGTATAGCTATATAGTATGTCCTCTACTCTCAAAGTACAAACCACATGTTAATTGCAGCCCTCACTGTCCTGATCAGAAGCCAGAATGCAACATTGCACATCCTAAGGGTCCGCCCCTTCCTAGCTGTGTGGCCCTAAACATGTTTGCCTACAGGAATTAGTTTCCTTTCTAAGTAATAGTTCTTACATGGCACAGTGTTTAAAGAATTAAACAAGGAAATATACAGCATTTGGAAGCATCTGCGCCATTGACTAACTGTTTAATGAACATTAGCTGGAATTATTTTTACTGTTGTTACTAGTATTATCTATTTCATGGCTGCATAGTGTTCCAGAGAACTGATGATCTACTTTTTGCTACAGTAAAGAAAATTTAATTTTACATATTTTCATTATCAATCCTATAAAGAGCATCATTTTTAAGTAATGACGTAGTAAGATGTAAGAACATCTTACTCTCCTCTCTCATTGTTTAAAGTCATAATTTCAAATGAAAATTAAAACATCAAAAAATAAGCACATTTAGAACTGTGATCATATAACTGCAAGCTTTCTTCCCAGTTTTTTACCTACCTCCATAATCTTTCAATAGAATACAAGTACTTTGGTTCTCTTCATGATGGCCAAGAGCATGCTATAAATATCCCCACAGTCTTGGTAATCTGATTAAGGAACATTCTATTATTCTCACTTACTTGATTATAGATGAAAACCATCACTTTTCAAGGCTATTGGCCATTTCTATTTCTCCTTTTACATTGGCACACTGGACTTTTAGTGTCCTTTGTTCCTACCTGTTTAGAGTTTTTCCTTGATTCTGTGCACAAGATTTTGACTTTCGATTTTATCATCTTTAGGTATCCACATGGGAAACATTATTGCCCCAGGTTGTTATTTCTTCTGGTAACATTGTGTGAGGCATCTTTTGCCATAAGGGATTTAAAGATTTTCTGTAACAACTATGGTAATCGGTGTACTTCGTTCAGTGTCTGGAGTAGATGCCATGTCAGAGTGACATGTGACAAGAGGTCACATCAAGTAGGGACAGGGAGGAGCAGCGCCACCTAGGGACACCATCACTCAAAGGGCACTCCAGACACCCACACCACAGGGCACAGGTTCAATGGAGAATCCTCTTTCACTTGAGCCAAATGGCTAATGATCCTATCCCTTAGTTGCCTGTGTACACTTGAGCAGGTTTCTCATATTTCACCTGTTTAAGAGGAAGAAGAGACCAGGAACCTTCTCATTCTGCTGCTCTGAGGAGTAAATGTAGGGACAGAACACAAGTGACTGGCAAATCTCAGTGTCACTGGGCATTTTAAATGAAGGCTTTCTACTACATAAATGACTAAGAGACCAGTAAATAAAACACATGCAGAGTATGCCTGAGACATGGAGAACACAGAATCTAGCTCTTCCTGTGTGAAAACTCCAACAACATTTGTGTGGAGCAGCAGTTATAACCTGTTGTTCTGTGCCAAGTTAAAATATTCTATCTACAAAACAGCCAGTGTGGTACATGTCAAGTACTCTTTCAAAATTGAGCTAAAATGGCATATGGTTTTCAAAATTACTTTCTGGGAAAAAAATCTGCCTATGTGTGTGAGGTAGTTATCAATAAAAAGATATACCAATTTAACAGTAATATGATGCAACCATAAAAATGTTAGATTATATAACATATAAAAAGAGTACAGTTTACAGTTAGATGTATACCATCAATACAAATACAGTTATGAATGTATATGAGAAACAGCATAAGCTAAAAAGGGATAATTTGAGAGAAGGGAGGTAATGAAGTGGGAGCACTGTTCATTCCTACTAATTTTTTTTTTAGAGATGGGGTTTCTCCATGTTGGCCAGCCTGGACTTGAACTCCCGACCTCAGGTGATCCGCCCACCTCAGCCTCCCAAAGTGCAGAGATTACAGGTGCAAGCCACTGCACCTGGCCCATTCCTACTAATTTTTATATTCCATAAAATAAATAATGGTAAAATCAAACCAAAACAAAACCAAAAACCAAATGCAGTCAACACAAAAGAGATAAAGGTAGCACCTGGCACACAACGGCTCCCCAAATGCCTATCTTCTCCTTGAGTCTTCTCACGACAAAGAAAAACACATGACAGTATGTGTAGTGAGATGGAATTTTAACAGCAAGAGAAGGACGCCCCACTCACCTTGAATGAGGTCATTTTTTTCTCCTATGTTGGGGAATTTGCAGACTCCTGAGTGATGCAGTTTGAAGGAAGGAGGAATCCTGCCTGACACATGCCACTGTCTGCAGAAAAAGACATGAAAAGGTTGCCATGGGTGACACCCACCAATACAGATGTGTATGGTAAATGAGCACATGAACGATTACAGCAGCATTATTCATAATAACCCCAAACTCCACACAACCAAAATGCCTTCCTCTGGGTAAAAGCGTAGACAAATGATGGCGTACCCATACAATGGAATGTCATTTGAAAATTTAAAGGAATGAAGTACTGACTTGAGCTACAACATGCAGAGCTTGTAAGCAAGCTAAATAATGAATGAAAGAAGCCAATCACAAAACCCATGGATTATAGGATCCCATTTATATGAAACATCCATAATAGGTAACAGTATACAGAGAGAAAATAAGTTAGTGGTTGCTCCAGATTTGAGGTGAGAATGAGTTTTTATTTTTTAAGAGGTGGGGTCTTGCTATGTTGCCCGGGCTGGTCTCAAACTTCTGAGCTCAAGCTATACCTCCCACTTCAGCCTCCCAAAATGCTGAGGTTACAGGCATGAGCCACCATGCCCAGCCTGAAAATGAGTTTTAACTGTAAGTGGGCACAAGGAGTCCAACTGGGGAATGAAAATGGTCTAAACTGAATCATGATGACGGCAAAAACACTCTGTGAAATTTCTAAAGATCACTGAATTGTATATCTGAAACTGGTGAATGCTATGATATGTAAAATACACTTCAATAGAGTTGGAAAAAAAAATTGTTTTTTTTTTTTTTTTTTTTTGAGACGGAGTTTCA